GCACCACCACTATTTGCCCAGAAGAGCCAAAAGTGGCACTACAGCAGAGAGATTGTCAGTTGATCCTTCTTTTCAGTTCTCCTAGAATGGAGTAAACTCTCACCTTTTGCCATTCTACTCAGGAAGGTTCCAGACAACCCTTTATCCCAGGATCATTTGCGTTTTAAAAATGCAGATGTTCCTGGGGGAATGTCTACACCCACCCCAGAAAGCACAAGCTTTCTGGGGTGGGTGTCCAGATGTTCTGCCAGGACTAGCCTGGCAGAACATCTGGGGATGCGCCAGGAGAGTGGGGGGGGGGGGGAGGGAGGAAAATTGCTCCCCCCCCTGCGCTCCTTACACATCATTTCTATGTGCCGGGAGAGCAGCTGCAACAGTGTACTGGACGCCGGGTAAATTTTCTTTACCTTTAAAAAGAGGTTGGGGGCTTTGGAGGAGGGGGTGGGATTCCCACAGCTTTCCAGACACCGGAAATAGTGGGTTTATCCCACACCTTCCAAGAAGGCACAGAATAAATCCACTATCTAATTAATTTGCTACAAACCAGGGTTTTCCACAATAAATGGGCTGTCTGAATGCGCCTCCAGAGAAAAAGATGGTTCATTTTTTGTAAAAGTTAAGGCATAGTGTTTAAATTGATCCATGGATAACTTCACCCAGATTTTTAGGGCTGATGGGAGGAAACATGATGGTCATGTATATATGTGTGTGTGTGTGTGTGTGTGTGTGTGTGTGTGTGTGTGTGTGAGGGGAAGTCATAGGAGGGAGCAAGCTTGTTTTGTGCTGCCCTGGAGACTAGAATGCGGAACAACGGCTTCAAAGTACAGGAAAGGAGATTCAACCTGAACATGAGGAAGAACTTCCTAACCGTGAGAGCCATTCAGCAGTGGAACTCTCTGTCCCGGAGTGTGGTAGAGGCTCCTTCTTTGGACGCTTTTAAACAGAGGCTGGATGGCCATCTATCAGGGGTGCTATGAATGTGATTTCCCACTTCTTGGCAGGGGGTTGGACTGGATGGTCCACGAGGTCTCCTCCAATTCAATCATTCTATGATTTTATGTTTGGACTAACATTTCTGGACTTCTACATGAATATTGACAGTATAGTTTCCCCAATTGTGACTTAAGTCATGGTTACTCCTGTTTAAAGCATGGAAAGGTTGCAGCTTCCTAAATTTCCCAGGCAGTATAACCATTGGTTATGGTGCCTGGAGCATTCTGGAGGTTCTAATGCAGAATTTTCCATCTCCGCTATCTTTGCCACTGCTCACGGATGCACACATTTTTATTTGCCCCTCCGTATTTTTTAAATCACTTGTGATTGCTATGTTGAGAGAGTGATACTGAAAAATATGAAGTGGGAAAGGGCCTGCAAAGGTGAGATTCATAGCTTTTTGCCCGACAGCTTTGTAAAGTTTCCAACCTGACTGACGTCTCTTCCTGTCAGCTTATGTTCTGGGCAAACCCAAGGAGGGAAGCTGGCCGCCTGCAGATAGCAGATGACATTTGCAGCCCTTGGCCCGCGTTCTCTCCCCAGCCGGCAACTTATGAGAAATGACAGCAGCAGAATATCCTCCGCCAAAGGTTCCCACTGCCTCACACCAAGCTCATATTTTTTGAGCCAGGCCACATACATCCTGACACGAGAGAGAGAGAAAGACACACCTTGGGGAGACGGGAAGAGTGTGAGTGTGTGTGTGGAGGGGTGTCAGTAACTGTCATCTACAATGAGAAAAACCACCTGCCACAGGAAACTTGTTAACTGCATTAGAAGGAAAGTCTCGCTCTTTTCTTTCAGCAGCTGGGGCAAAACAGCATCACAATGGGGAAATTCATCAGAATGGAAAGGCCAGGAAGGAACCAGAAACTACCAGAAACCATTTCTTGCAAAGGGTTGGCAATGCTGTGAGGCATGACTCTTAACTCTAGAAAACTGGGTAAGAGTGGCCTCGTATGGTATATTGGTGACATGTCTTTCCAAAGGCACCCAAAGCCCATTGCTGCCAGGCTCCACTACTTGGGATTGTTACAGTGAAAACTAGAAATGGCTCTCGAATCTTTAATGGTTGTCTGGAAGGTGTTACTTATCATGCAACCAGGTAACAAGCAACACCAGCTTAAATTCTCTGACACAACTATTAAAGATGTGGGATCCCTCTCATGTTTTAGCTCTGACAACTCTGTTAGCACTAAAACTCACATATTTATACATGGCCATCATATTTATTTGTTCATTTATTTCCCACATTTCTAACCCACCCTTCTCAACCCCCGAGGGGGGACACAGGGCGGCTTGCACCGGCAACAATTCGATGCCACAAGATAATATAAATATAAATAAATATAACAACAGTTTAAAACTGTTGTTACATTTGTTTATATTTGTATTATTATGTCTCCTCTCAGCCTTCTCTTCAGAAGGCTAAACATGCCCAGCTCTTTAAGCCACTCTTCATAGGGATTGTTCTCCAGACCCTTGATCATTTTAGTCGCCCTCCTCTAGACACATTCTAGCTTGTCAACATCTCTCTTCAACTGCAGTGCCCAGAATTGGACACAGTATTCCAGGTGTGGTTTGACAAAGGCAGAATAGAGGGGTAGCATGATTTCCCTGGATCTAGACACCATACTCCTATTTAAGCAGAACAAAATCCCATTGGCTTTTTAAGCCACCACTCATGTTTAACTTGTTGTCCGCGAGGACTCCAATATCTTTTTCACACATACTGCTGTCATTCCAGGCATCCCCCATTCTGTATCTTTGCATTTCATTTTTTCTGCCTAAGTGGAGTATTTTGCATTTGTCGATTTAGCCACTTTCATTAAGCATGTCTGCTATTGGATCCAACTAGAAGTCAATAATAAACATGGATGATCTAGTGTAGGCCCAGGCTTTACACTTAGTTTAAACAACAAACAAGGAACTGAGTGACAACAATAGTGTAGCAGATGGATGACAACCTCAGGATCAGTGCAATGTCAAATGTTTCATGCTCATGTTTGATGTTTTATCATTTTAATTGTTTAATATATAGTTCCATGTTATTGTTTTAGATGTAAGATGTCCTGTTTTTATTATCTGTGAGGCACTGAATTTTTGAAAATGCTTTGGGTCTAACCCAGGGATGAGAAAAGTGGTATATAAATGCAATAAACTAACTAACTAACTAAAACTGGTTCTGGATTGTCATTCAAAAGTGCAGATGGAGATTCGCATAACTGAACACTTCTCCCAAAGAGGAGGGGAATATCTCAGCATACATGAAAGTAACATGACGAACAAGATTAGGGTAGTGGTGTTCTTATTTGCTATAGGTGGGGAATTTTTCTACGGAGTTAAAAGGAGACATACAATCCCTCACCAATAGTTATTCCCCCACCCACAGTGAAGCAGTCCAGAAACATGGCACCACTCACTTGGTATTTGTGTGAACTAGACTTCAGCACTCAGTTTACCTTAAAGATTGGTGATGTGTGCCCATCACCTGTAGTTGGACTGCAACTTCCATCAAACCAAGCCAGCATGATCACCGGAGAGGGATGATGGGGACTGTAGTCCAACAACATGTGGAGAGTCTCATATCCTCTACCCTTATTCAAAATCATAACCAGAATTCCTCCAGGACAGAATAGGATTCTGTTCTTGGATTCTGTCTGAGTAGATTGCTGCTTACTATTACACAGTACTTAGTACTAGAATTACTATTTGTGTGACAGGCACATACTGTGAGTGGGTATGCAAAGTGTATGCTCTGGATTAGAAGTTGTATTGCGGAACTTCTAACATTTTCTGGAAAAGAGTTGGTATCAGTAGAAATATTAGCAGAAATAAGTCATTTACGCTAGATAGAATCTAGTGATTTGCCTAACTATGAGCACAGATAACTCCCCTGGAAATAAGTTCGTAAGAGTTTAAATCTAGAAGGGATGAAGCATAAGGAAATCATCTTCTCCAATTCTCCCAGTCTTCTGGAACAGTTCCAATTAATTTGTATTGTCCCACTTTTTCATCTGCTTTTACCATGGCCTAGTTTCTCTTTCCTCCTCCTTTGCCCTGTCATGCTGAGTTCAAAATGTAAACATTGTTTGCACTCAGTTAACTCAGCAAAAGAGGACAGAAGGGAGCAAAATCTTCCCCTTTCTATATTACTGATACATTAATGCACCATGACTCTAAGGGGGGAAAAAACAATAAAAAGGAAGTCAACATGTCCCAGAATTAAAATGAAACCCACTCCTCGTTGTTTTTGTCGTTATGTGCCTTCAATGTGTTTCAATTATAGAGTTTTTGTCTGGCAAGAAGTTTTCCAAAGGAGCTTGCTTTTGTTTTCCTTTGAGCCCGAGATAATGTAACTTGCTCAAGGATTTCCATAGTTAAGTATGGATTTGAACCCTGGTCTCCAAAAACCAAAGCTCAAATCACTGCACCATGATGGCACTTCCACTCCAGGATGGGAATAAAATGTTGGTGTTGCTACAAGAACTTCCTGAATATAGTTTGGGACAAGAGAAATGTCTTTTGGGTATTTTAAAAATCTCAGAAAACTATGTCAACAATTGCCATAGCCCTCCTAGGCATGTGCCGTGTTTTGAGAAATTCAAAGGCACTAGAGTTCAGAAACAGTTTTACCACCAAATCTGCTATTAGTATTAACTAGAGCTTGAAAATTTTACCAGACACAGAATTTATATTCCCAAAAAAATGTCCCAGATTTCCAGATTTGGTATGAAATATTATCCCTTGCTACATAATTTAGATGGGTAGGTCATCTTTGAGTTGCCATGGTGTTGTGATTTGAGTGTTGGACTCGTACTCCAGAGACCAGGGTTCAAACCTCCACTCTACTATGATGACCTTTCACTGTTTCTCAGCCCAATAGGAAAGCAATAGCAGATGTCCTCTGAAAAAAACTGCAGGAAAACCCCCAATAGTAGTATTACCATAAGTTGGACTCATCTTGAAGGCACATATCTAAGTGACCAGATTATTGAATCACTCACCAAGTGCAAGGTATCTGCTTTTTGTGTCTGTCTTTGCCGGCTCTTCTGAGCTGCAATACGATTCTTTTCCCTTCTTTGTACTTTCCTCATGTCATCAGAAGAATCCTGGAGGAAAAACCCCACAGAGAGGAATATGACTGTAGGTACTATGACATCCTAAGGAGACTGCATAAAGTGACCAAGAATATTATGATACAAAGTAAATAGAATTATAAACTCATATCTGTAATGATCTCCCAACTCAGTTTCAAATTAGTAAATCTCCTTCTCTAAGCTTGCTTATACCCCAAACACATACCCCACATCTACTGCCTTCCTTGTATACTTGACTACAACTCCCATTACATCCAGACAGAATATCGAATGGCCATGCTAGCTGGAAAGATGGAAGATAAAAAAGACAAAGGAGAAAGAATCATCTTCAGACACTGAGTTAATGACATGAGATGTGAAAAATAAATAGCAAACTTTGGAAGAACCTAATATATTGCTAACAATAAGAGGACTTGTCTTGCATTCAGCTTCAATTCTTACAATTGCTTGACCCCTAAACAGTAGGATTATTTTTTTGTAGGCAAATATATATAGAAAGTGGATTCATGTGGCCCTCTAGATGATGTTGGGCTGCAAGGCATTAGGAACATTAGGAAGAACTTCCTATCTGTGAGAGGTGTTCAGCAGTGGAACTCTCTGCCCCAGAGTGTGATGGAGGCGCCTTCTTTGGAGGCTTTTAAACAGAGGCTGGATAGTCGTCTGTCGGGGGTGCTTTGAATGCAATTTTCCTGCTTCTTGGCAGGGATTTCGACTGTATGGTCTCTTCCAACTCTATGATTTGATGATTCTATGATTGCACCTCCTTGAAGGAGGACATTTGCTACAATTTTCTGGGATGCTATTCTCATGCTGTCTTGTTCCAGTCCTGTTGTGCTTTCACATTCGGTTTGTTCTGTGCTACTGGTCAGCCACACTGCTTCTCTTTGGTTTTCACATGTGTTAAACCAGATTTCACTGAATGTAAGAAACCCAAACCACTTCCTAGAAAACCCCATGAAATTTCCTTAGGGATGTTTTCCTTTAGCTCTTGAGAAATTCACTATCTCTTTCTGAATGTGCATGCATGTGCCCCCTTCAAATCACTTATCAATTTATGGGTGACCCCATGCATTTCATAGGGATTTCTTAGGCAAGAAACACTCAAAAGTAATTTTGCCAGTTCCTTTCTGGGAAATACCGCTGGGGACATCTGGTATTCCTTGGTAGTCCCCTTCCAAATATTAACCAGGCCTGCTTAGTTTCCAAGATCAGACAGGGTCGGATGCCTTTGGGATCTTTAACCATCTCCATTAACCCATAAGACAAACTAAAGTGTCTGACAAGATAATAAGACGGCATGGATTTGAGTTGTCATCTTCTGTTTTCTAGGATGTCTTTTGAGGCTTTAGCACCCACAGGGCAGGAATCCAATAGGTGAAGGTTTCCTTATCACTTTGTCTTTGTGCTCTGCAAGATTGGCTCTAAGGTTAGGCGAAGTGAGACAGCTACCTCAGAAACAATGATCATTCACCATTTTTGCTGCCAAAGAGTAGGGACAGATGTCTGTGAGATTTTCTTCTTCAAGTGCCAAAATCATTTGGCTGATTCTTGGCTACTATCCATAATCATCCTTTGTGGAAATGGGTTTATTCAAACAAAAGAACTTGGGCCAGACCTGAGGCAGCAGCAAACTTCACCTACCAAATTTCCCCAGGATCTAATGTTGTCACTCAGGATTATAAAAGGGGGTGGTGAAGGGATAGTGAACCCTAAAATATTAACTCAGAAGTAACTGACCAAGTTGAGAGCCATCATGATATACTGGTTTAAGCTCTGGATTATGGTTCTGGAGAGCAGGGGTGCAGCTACACCAGGCATGGGCAAACTTGGGCCCCCCAGGTGTTTTGGACTTCAACTCCCACAATTCCTAACAGCCTCGGGTTCCTTCCTTTCCCCCCGCTTAAGCGGCGGAGGGGGGAAAGGAAGGAGCCTGAGGCTGTTAGGAATTGTGGGAGTTGAAGTCCAAAACACCTGGAAGGAGGGCCTCAACACTGTACATTTGAAAGAAATAGCAAAATAAATTCCAAATACAAAAAATAGATCCCTTTCTGTTAGAAACCCTGGAAAACAAAGACAAAACTTTTAGGAACTTAATTAAGACTCTGGAAGAAAATGTTGTAAATAAGGTAGGAGATCTCTTAGAACCCACTGGAGAAATAAAAAAAAATAGGATAAGATAAAGGACAAATGCGGAATAAAGAATTGGATAGGATCATTAGGCCTGTCTCAAAGAATAAAGTAGTGTTTCTCAACCTGGGGATCGGGATCCCTGGGGGGGGGGGTCATGAGGGGATGTCAGAGGGGTTGCTGAAGACCATCAGAAAACATGGTATTTTCTGTTGGTCATGGGTGTTCTGTGTGGGAAGTTTGGCCCAATTCTATCGTTGGTGGGGTTCAGAATGCTCTTTGATTGTAGGTGAACTATAAATCCCAGCAACTACAACTCCCAAATGTCAAGGTCTATTTTCCTCGAATTCCACCAGTCATCACATTTGGGCATATTGAGTATTTGTGCCAAGTCTGGTCCAGATCCATCATTGTTTGAGTCCACAGTGCTCTCTGGATGTAGGTGAACGACAACTCCAAAACTCAGAGTCAATGCCCACCAAATCCTTCCAGTATTTACTGTTGGTCATGGGAGTTCTGTGTGCCAAGTGTGGTTTAATTCCATCGTTGGCAGAGTTCTGAATGCTCTTTGATTGTAGGTTAACTATAAATCCCAGTAACTTCAACTCCCAAATGACAAAATCAAACCCATCCCCAACCCCTGCACTATTCAAATGTGGGCATATTGGGTATTTGTGCCAAATTTGGTCCAGCAAATGAAAATACATCCTGCATATCAGAGATTTACATTACAATTCACAACAGTAGCAAAATCGGAGTTATGAAGTAGCAATGAAAATAATTTTATGGTTGGGGGTCACCACAACATGAGGAACTGTATTAAGGGGTCATGGCATTAGGAAGGTTGAGAACCACGGCTCTACAGCATAGATGCATCTTAAGAACCCTCTCTCTGCCATGGAAACCCACCTTAGGAAAGTCACACTCTCAAAGAGACCAAAACAACTCCTAATCCCTAAACGACTCTTGACATGAAACCTCTGCAGAATCAATGCAGCTTGACACTCCTCAATGCAATGAAATCACAGGAGCTGTAGTTTTGCATGGTATTCAGCCCTCTCTGCCAAATAGTATTGATGCTTTATTAAGCTACAAATCGCTGGGTTTGATAGTATTGAGTCATAGAATCATAGAGTTAGAAGAGACCTCATGGGCCATCCAATCTCTGTTTAAAAGTTTCTAAAGAAGGAGCCACCACCACACTCTGGGGCAGAGAGTTCCACTGCTGAACAGCTCTCACAGTCAGGAAGCTCTTCCTAATGTTCAGATGTAATCCCCTTTCTTGTAGTTTGAAGCCATTGTTCCGCATCCTACTCTCCAGGGCAGCAGAAAACAAGCTTGCTCCCTCCTCCCTATGACTTCCTCTCACATATTTATACATGGCTATCATGTCTCCTCTCAGCCTTCTCTTCTTCAGGCTAAACATGCCCAGCTCTTTCAGCTGCTCCTCATAGGGCTTGTTCTCCAAACCCTTGATCATTTTAGCCACCTTCTTCTGGACACATTCCAGCTTGTCAATATCTCTCTTCAATTGTGGTGCCCAGAATTGGACACAGTATTCCAGATGTAGTCTAACCAAGGCAGAATAGGAGGGTATCATGACTTCCCTGGAACTAGACACTAGACTCCTATTGATGCAGGCCAAAATCCCATTGGCTTTCTTAGCTGCAGCATCACATTGATGCTTAATGTATGAAGAATAGACATCTCCAGGGAATATTTGCTGGACATCATGAGTAATTCTTCTCTAGCTATTAGGTTTTTGCCTTGAATGGGCATGTTAGAGTTGTTCAGCAGTGGAACTCTCTGCCCTGGAATGTGGTGGAGGCTCCTTCTTTGGAGGCTTTTAAACAGAGGCTGGATGGCCATCTGTCGGAGGTGTTTTGAATGCGATTTTCCTGCTTCTTGGCAGGGGGTTGGCCTAGATGGCCCACGAGGTCTCTTCCAATCCTATGATTCGGCCCTCCCTCCAGGTGTGTTGGACTTCAACTCCCACCATTCCTAAGAGCCTCCCTGGCCCATGCCTGGTGTCAGAAGCAGGCTAAGGCAGGCAAGGATAGCTGTGCAGAGTGCAGACGGTACCTGTTTGCTGGAGTAGGAGGAGGAAGACGCCTGGCTGAAGCTGCTGGAGTCGCTGCTGTCAGAGCTATGGGGCATGGCTCCCCCTGCCTCGGAGATCCTGCTCCCTTTCCTTCTTTGGCTCTCTTTGGATCCCTTCTTTGCCTGCTTTGGGGTCACTTTCCCTCCTGCCACAGGGCTGCCCTATAGCCTGCCTCCTCCCTCCCTCCCTCCCTTCTCTCTCTCTCTCTTTTGAGCAATTTCTCGGAAGCCGCAAAAAGGCTCTCGACTGAAAGTCACGTGCGCGGAAACAAAAAAAGTAAGTGACAAGAAGAAAAACCAAACAGTCCAAAGAAAAACAGAGAGAAAGAAGTGGGTTTCGGGTGCGTGACAACCCCCAGAAAAAAACCACCTCGATATAAAGGCAGGGAAATTACACGCTCAGGGAGAACAGACAAAACAAACCTGAAGCATCACAAGCGGTTCGTGAAACACAAAGGCACATTCGGAAACTACATCCCAGGTGGAGTGCTCTTTCAACTCTATCTCCCAGCATCCCCTTGCCGGCAGGAACACTAGGAATCTGGGACCTCTTAGCCAGGCTAAGTCTCATTATACATGACGCAAGGCATGGGTTAAGCGGCTGAATCTAATGATTTAGGTCAGGGGTCCTCAAACTTTTTAAACAGAGGGCCAGGTCACAGTCCTTCAAACTGTTGGAGGACCGGATTATAATTTGAAAAAAAAACCACAAATGAATTCCTATGCACACTGCACATATCTTATTTGTAGTGCAAAAACACTTAAAAGCAATAGAATAATTAAAACGAAGAACAATTTTAACAAATATAAACTTATTAGTATTTTAATGGGAAGTGTTGGCCTGCTTTTGGCTGACGAGATACGATTGTTGTTATTGCTGTTGTTGTGTGCTTTCAAGTAGTTTCAGACTTAAGTTGACCCTGAGCAAGGGCCCGGTAAATGACCTTGGAGGGCCGTATCCAGCCCCCTGCCAAGAAGCAGGAATATTGCATTCAAATCACCCCTGACAGATGGCCATCCAGCCTCTGTTTAAAAGCTTCCAAAGAAGGAGCCTCCACCACACTCCGGGGCAGAGAGTTCCACTGCTGAACGGCTCTCACAGTCAGGAAGTTCTTCCTCGTGTTCAGATGGAATCTCCTTTCTTGTAGTTTGAAGCCATTGTTTCGCATCCTAGTCTCCAGAGAAGCAATAAACAAGCTTGCTCCCTTCTCCCTGTGGCTTCCTCTCACATATTTATACATGGCTATCATATCTCAACTCATCCTTTTCTTCTTCAGGCTAAACATGCCAAACTCCTCAAGCCGCTTCTCATAGGGCTTGTTCTCCAGACCCTTGATCATTTTAGTCACCCTCCTCTGGACACATTCCAGCTTGTCAATATCTCTCTTCAATTGTGGTGCCCAGAATTGGACACAATATTCCAGGTGTGGTCTAACCAAAACGGAATAGAGGCGTAGCATTATTTCCCTAGATCTAGACACTCTGCTCCTATTGATGCAGGCCAAAATCCCATTGGCTTTTTTTGCCGCTACATCACATTGTTGGCTCATGTTTAACTTGTTGTCCATGAGGACTCCAAGACCTTTTTCACACGTACTGCTCTCGAGCCAGGCATTGTCCCCCATTCTGTATCTTTGCATTTCGTTTTTCCTGCCTAAGTGGAGTATCTTGCATTTGTCACTGTTGAACTTCATTTTTTTAGTTTCGGCCCATCTCTCTAATCTGTCAAGATCGTTTTGAATCCTGCTCCTGTCCTCTGGAGTATTGGCTATCCCTCCCAATTTGGTGTCATCTGCAAACTTGATGATCAAATGCATCTATCTTCCTTCGCTCAGTCTTCCTTATGGTTCAGCTCTCACATCCATAGGTTATTACTGGGACTATTTTAAATAGTATGAATTAACTTTAAATCTAAACTTTACTTATTTGCATCTCTATCATGTGGGGCAGCTCATATTTGCATCAGCAAAAAGAGAGAAAAATCCCACTGACTCGGCATGTACTTGAAAGGGTGCTGACTGAAAACCCCCAACAGGCTTAAAGAAAAGTGCAATCGCTTTCAAAATAACAATTCTGATACAATGTATAAAAAGATGACAGATATATTCTCATTGCCCTCCCTCAATGTAGACGAGGTCTGCCAAGTTAGCAGTGTTCCATTTTCTGAAATTTAGAGCTGAAATCCTATGTGGGTGGGATGCAACCTGTCTGATGTCACATAGATGGCCCCTTTTGATGACACAGAGATGATACATGATGCAGGGAAGGGGTTGAGAGATAGGACGGAACTGTTTCTCCATCAGTTCATTATGGAAACAAACCTGGACTCTGAGTAAAGTGCTCTGGATGTGATGGGACAGGTATCATGGTGATCCAGAGCCAAGGGGAATGCAAATTCTGTTTAGGAACTGAAATGGTTGGCAGCATTCCAGCTAAGGCATGCATTTCGCACACTTGGAGAGCCATTTCACACCACACAATTATAGCCCTATGATTCTACATTAACTGTTATGGATGCCTCATATGTAATCCTGGGATATGTAGTTTTGTGAGGCTTTAGAGCTCTCTGCTGCAAATTCTAAATTTTCCATCCTAAATTCCCAATCTCAGCATCTTTATGCCTCTTTAAATGCCTGGATGGTAAAATGAAGATGGTGACTTGAGGCAGCTGGCCACCTGAGGCAGCACTGATGCTTTCCCTTCTCTGCAGAATAACCCTCAACATACTCACAGGCCATATGAAAATCCATAATTTTGGCTCCAAAACCTGCCCTTGATTTATATATAAGGTCAACTTACACATGACTGGAGCCCCTCGGTGGCACAGCTGCTGAACTTGCTGACCAAAAGGTCGGTGGAGCAGGATGAGCTCCCACTGTTAGCCAGGACTTCTGCCAACCTAGCAGTTCAAAAACATGCAAATGTGAGTAGATCAAGATGCACCGCTTTGGCGGGAAGGTAACAGCACTCCATGCAGTCATGCTGGCCACATGTCCTTGGAGGTGTCTATGGACGGTGCCAGCTCTTTGGCTTAGAAATGGAGATGAGCACCACCCCTCAGAGTCAGACACAACTAGACTTAATGTCAAGGGGAAACCTTGACTAGATGACCCATGTGGTGTTTTCCAACTCTATTATTCTATGATTAGATATGGAACTTGCCTGCACTTGATCCCAAGATGATCCTAAAGACCCAGGTGTGGGATTCAGAGTGCCCTCATGGGGCTTTCTGGGTTTCATGACCTTAATCATATTGTCCAGGAAGCTCTTATCTGTGGTGCTGACAGAGACTAAATCTATGACAAAGTTTCAGCCTCTCTGCGCAAACCATAAAAAGCAAAGGTTATCTCAGAGATGCAGTAGTTTCTGAGGTTGTATGTGATTGTTCAGATTCTTTCTTCTTTCTTCTGCACCCAGTCTGTGGCTAGATAAAAAAGACATATGAAAGGAAGATATCTAATACAAATACAGAACAATGCCCTTAACAGATCTAAGAGACTTCACAGGAAAATCCAAGATTGCAAGGCTCTGCAATTGCTAATGACAGCAGCTATAGTGTAGTGATAGAAACATGAGACCTAGGATTTGCAGAATAAAAACTGGAGACATCTCCTGTGCTTTCAATACTTGTGTTTAGCAGGTGTTGCTTGCCACATAACCAGGTTTTAAGCAATCCCTTTTGAACCTCCCACTTCTATACAAACATTAAAGGTACAAAAGGACTCCCACAGGTTAGTTCAAAACTAGAATTTTTAAAATGACATCACCATTTTAAAATGACATCACCATCATGACTTTGACTCTCTTTTCTTGATGAAAGGCCAGTAAAGCTTTGTAAGATCCTCTTACTTCTGGAGGAGTCTACCGTATACCATGCAGCTGTGGACAAGACTACATAGTGTCCACCAAATGCAGGATTGCCCAAACACAAATCGAGGAACATGAAAGGCACTGCAGACAACTTCAACCAGAGAAGTCAGCCATAGGAGAGCACCTGATGAACCAACCTGGACACAGCATATTATTTGAGAACACAGAAATGCTGGACCACTCTCACAACCACCATGTCAGACTACACAGAGAAGCCATTGAAATCCAAAAGCATGTGGACAATTTCAACAGAAAGGAGGAAATCATGAAAATGAACAAAATCTGGCTAGCAGTATTAAAAAAAAACCTCTAAAATTACAAAAGCAAAACAACAGAGAAGAAACAATTAGGGACATCTAATCACCTCTCAACAAAAGATTGCCCCAGGCACTAACAAGACACACCAAACAACTGCTAGGCCATCAAATGCTAATCAAGGTGGTCAGTTGAAACAGTCACACCTCGCTCCAACAGACAAGAGTTCTTTGTCCCACCCTGGTCATTCCACAGATATATAAACCCATTTTCCTAGTTCCAACAGTCCTCGCTACCTCTGAGGATGCTTGCCATAGATGCAGGCGAAACATCAGGAGAGAATGCTTCTAGAACATGGCCATATAGCCCGAAAAAACCTACAACAACCCAGTGATTCCGGCCATGAAAGCCTTCGACAATACATTGCATAGTATACTTTATGCTTTCAACCTGGCCTAATAAAGGTATCCTTGCTGTATGGTCAACACAGCTATCTCAAAAAACAATCTATCTACATATCTACCTACCTACCTAGTATCTATGTATCCATGGCATCTATAGATAGAGAATTGCACTGGGATTCTCAATGATGACCCCTTGTGGTACATTTTCTTATTGACTCATTCAAAAGTATTTTCTATAATTTGTGTTTCTCATACTTTCTAGATATGCTGGATTATAAATGCCCAGGGATGGTGGAAGCTATATGTAGCCATTTATTGCTACACTTTTGAGTAGGAATTGATCAATGTGCTCTGCGTAGCATGAACAAAATGTTCCTTGTTCATCTACCTTTTCCAGTCCTGTCTGAAAAGTGAGTAAACAAAACTTATGTAGTTGAGGCTAGAAAGAAGAGAAACAAAGTGATTTGATCAGATGTAATTTAACTAAGATTGCCAAATCCCATTATTTAGCATAGCCTTCCCCATTGCACAAAAACTTCCACCATCCCTGGGCAATTTGTAGTTGAATCCAGGTGCATATGAACACACACTGAATATTTTTCTATGGTATTAAATAGGTGTATTCTCAACCTCCCTCCTCACTTAGAATTTCA